GCACATCTGACCAATGTTTTAGGTACTGTTGATTGATGTTTTACTTAGATTATGATATCTTTGTATGAAAAACAAACCTGGTGAGATCAAAATGTTCATCAGGGGTACACACCACGGGTATACAGTAATCATGCTTCCATGTGCCTGGAATTCTGGTCCAGAAATTTATGCCAGCCTTCCTTGAAATAAATGAGGATTACAAACCAAGGTTCTCATTTCTGTTCATAATTTTCTAGTCAGACTGATTGGGAAACTTTGATGAAGTAGAGACGTTCCATTATTAAAATGTGAATGGGGGTGGGGAGTAAAGTTACAAGCATGAAGAAAAGATTCAGTAATGTCTTGCTTTATGAAACTGAGATGTTATTGCATGATTTCAGTCTTTCGAGCAGACATTGGTGTCATACTGATTCCTAACAGGAGACAAAAGGGAATACTTTTGACACCGTGATCTATGATGTGGGATTTCAGAGGACTTAATAGCTCCTTTGCAGAGCTCCTCTTCTGACTCGTGACAACAATACACATTACAAATAGGAAAAATTCTTATTGGCACATATTTGTGAATTAGTGAAGCAGTGCTCATGATACTGGTATATCTCTTCAGCTCAGGATATGAACTGCATATGTTTGTTGTTTTTATGTCACCCAACTGCTTTTTAACTCAAGGAAGTTATTTTAAATTACAACAATGTATAGATTAGCTTTCTCAGATATACAGATATCCTCAATTTACAACAGCAATTGGGACTTGAATTTCCATCACTAAACGATGTAGTCTTAAAATGTGGCCACATTGCTTAACTAACAGAGGTCCCTGCAGTCCTTGTTGCCATTGCTAGCAAAATTACTAGATGAGGTAACTTCCTGCCAGCTTCCCACAACCAAGACAGTAAGGAAGCTGGCAGGAAGGTGCAAGTCCCAGGCAATTTGCAAGCAGGCTGGCAGGTAAGTGCCTGCTGCTGAGTGGGGGAGGGAGGGAGGGGATGAGAGTTTGAGGGAGGTGAGGCAGTTTTGGGGAGGGTATACAAGGATGCAAGGGAGGTGGGGCAAAGGTCAGAGAGGGAGAGTGTGTTGAGGTGCATGGGAGTGCACAAGGATGCAAGGGAGATGTGATGAGGGTCAGGGAGGGTGCATGAGGATGCGAGGGGGGCAAGACAAGGATCAGGGAGGATGCACAAGGGTGCATGACCAACTGGCA